ATTATTTTTGTGCATATTATAAAACCATTAAATACTGTATATGTATACATATGTTACTACTGTCTATTTGCGCTACAAATTATTATAGAAATGTAACACCAAATCTGAAGGCATGTTCGCATAACAAATGATGCCTTCAAAAAGTTAAACAAAGTATTAAGAAACTGGAAAATTTCATTAGAAACGAAGAAAAGAGTGCTGAACTCTTCTTAATATCAGTCCTTCTATATTGCAGTAAATGCTGGACAATTTTCTCACAGATGAAGAAAAGACTTGAGGCAAGAGAGATGTGGTTCTATAGAAGGATGTTGAAAACATGGACGGAACAGGTGAGCAATAAAAAGAAGTTTTAAGAAAAATGGAAGCAAAAAGGACATTTATACTAAGAATCAGAAAAAGATAGTTGAAACTTTTGGGACAGATAATGAGGAAAGAGGGCTTGGAAAATTTGATACTCAGAAGATGTATTCAAGGCAAGAAGGATACTACAAGTAAGCTTGTGGATAATTCAGTTTGCCTGTCGTTGCGATGATTGAAATGGATTAAAGGTCTTGCTTTCGTCCAGTCCTCCGGTTTACCAACTGAGTTGTTGCTAGTGACCTCTTATTCTCTCGGTCTCATTCATATGCTGTCATGTCAACAACGCAATCTGCCGTCTTCCTCGCAGACTCACTATTTATGCCTGCATCGGGGGCAACTAAAATTTGCATACAAGACTTATTTCTCGTTCGCCCAAGACTTCCAATTTTATAAATTCAAGCTGGTTTGAATTTTTAATCTTTTTTTATTTTTATTTTTTCCTTTGTACATCTGCCCGCGATATAGGGATTTTGGAATAATCTGTAATGATATTGTCTACTCCTTCGTTCCAGGTTCCTGGAACGTCAATCTGTTTTTTATATATACAAACACGCATGGTCTTTGATCAATAAACATACGCCATGACAGTCCCTTATTCATAACTACACAAATTCTCGCTTGCTCACGCCACGCCGGGCTCACAACATAACCGCTACTAACAGGCAGCTATCATGGCTACAGTGTCAATACAAGTACCTAATCTTGACTGGAGGTCGCCAAACATCGCCGAATCGTTCAAACTATTTCGGCAACGTATGGAGCTTTACTTCACCGTCAAGGCAACAAAACACGAAGACAAGGTGCCGCTAATTGCAGCCAGCGAAGAAGGCCTATACCGATACAACAGTTGGTCCATGACAGACTTTCAATCGTAAAGACTTTTAAAAAATATTCTCTGCCTTCATGGAGCAGCTCGAACCGGCAACCAACCACGCGTCTGTAGACTCGAACTCAGCAAATACCAACAAAAGCCAACTGAAACAACGGACATCTTCGTTAACAAATGCCGACTGCTAGCAAAGAAATGCAACTTCACTGCCGACGAAGTAAATGAATGCCTCGTTGAGTTACTAATTGCCAGCACGTCCATACCCGAACTACAAAAGGAACTATTGAACAAACCAAAGGGTTACAAAATCGAAGAGGCTGTTAAATTAGCCCGTTCACATGAAGCATCAGCAATATATGTCAGCCAACTCCAACAGCTACAGGGATCACCACAGATAGCCACAATAAACCGTGGTACACACCAACAGCAAAGGAGTGACAGAAAATACAGACAGGTTTGCAAAAACTGTGGAAACAACCACCGTTTAGGCAAAGAACACTGCCGTGCCAAAAACGACACATGCAACACATGTGGCAAAGTAGGCCACTGGGCTACAGTCTGCATCTCAGGGAAACATAAGACCAAGAGACGACAAGGGAAAACCTGGTCTAATGGTTGTAACCAGTCAAGACACCCACAACAGGAGTTTGGCAGGAAAGTCGACAGCGTCGCCAAACACAACGACCAAGTCATGGCCGACATAGACACAGCAATGGAAAACCTCACCTTTAGCTCCATCGAAACCAACAGTGGAAAATCATCAAAACGAAAGGCCCTCGAAATGAGGCATTTGTTGATTTAAACATCAAGTTGATGGACCACCCAGGCACTCATACTTTCAACCTGAAGGTAGATACAGGGGCACAAGCAAACACACTGCCTATCCGCATATTCCGCAAGATGTACCCCACCAGTATAGACGAAGCTGGAAATCTAATATCCACAAAGATAAACTGTTATGGCACCACAAATATTAGGTGCAAATACAAGAACTCTCCATGGCTGGATACCCAATTCTACGTGGTTGATGTTCCAGGAGCAGACATATTGAGCCTGCCAACATCAGTAGCACTTAAAGTAGTGACAATGAACTGTGCTATCTCAGTCCAGCACCAACCCATCAACAGTGTAGCTGACCTAATGCACCTCTACCCTGACAGATTCGACCGTATTGGTGAATTTCGGAGGACTCACAAGCTTGCTGTTAACCCCAATGTGCCATGCCACATAGACCCACCGAGAAGGACACCTATAGCCATGCGCGAAAAAATCAACGCTGAGCTCGACAAGATAGAATCACAAAGAGTCATTCGCTGTATTGAAGAACCTACAAACTGGGTAAGCTCTCTTACATATGTCATCAAACGTGACAACACAATAAGAGTCTGCCTAGACCCACAAGCATTAAACAAAGCTCTCATATGGCCATACCACCAAATTCCGACTGTCAAAGAGCTCAACCATCGATTTGCAGGAGCAAAATTCTTCTCAAAATTGGATGCTAAGAATGGATACTGGTCCATAAAGCTCGATCATGGAAACCAGCCACTAACAACTTTCCAAACGCCATTTGGGAGGTACTGTTTTGAATGACTTCCATTTGGTCTGAGTGTCAGTCAGGATATTTACCAACTTGAGATAGACAGGATACTCGAGAAGTGCACTGGAGCCTGTGGTATAGATGACGATATCACCATATATGAGTCAACAGAACATGAACACGATGAAAACTTAAAGCACTTTATTGAGGTCGCTACTCAAGAGGGCCTTACCCTCAACTCGGAGAAATGCAAGATTAAACGCCAGGAAATCTCCTTCTTTGGAAACCTGTATACACATACCGGATTGAAACCTAACCCAACAAAAGTATGTGACTTACAGGAGATGTCAGAACCACGTAACAAAACAGATTGACGTTCTGGGAACCCGGAACGAAGGAGTAGGCAATATCATTACATAATCCATTTCTCTTTTAATGCTGGTTGCGATCTTTCAACAAGACCTGGCACGTCAAGCAAGTTCACTTTGCAGGAGGTAAGTCTTCTCGTTCCTCACAAAGCTACCTAACAAACTTGTGTAAACGGATCGCAGTACAGGAAGTGGAAGGGGACAGTAAGGAAACAAACATTGCTAAGAGCTATGAAGAATAAGAAGCTGTGGAGAGATACGATCATCCACGTCCGAAAGGGGCACAGCATATAAAAACTAACTACTGCCTGGACATTTAAAGTAGTTATGAGACAGTGGATTAGTTATAACATAACAGCTCTCACGATTTCTTCTACGGGTCATCATCTGCACCTGCTTGCATCAGGATTGTCATCCTCTCTCCCTGATACCTTTCTCCCCTTCTGGTGGCAGTGGCAGAGATGGTTGTGAAGGCCCAGCCTACTTCTGAAGAATCATGAACAGGAGTCACAGAGAAGTGTGAGTGATGGATGTGGCTAGGTGAGTCAGGCCCCTCCTGACAGCATGTTGACAGTTGGAGTTGACAGTCTCAATTTCCCCCCACCCCCAGACCTATACTAGGAAGGTCAATTTGCAGCATTGCAGCAACACCTTCCCAGGCCTCAGGGTTGATGTTCGCCTGTGTCAGTGACGTCTTCAACTCATTCTTGAAGTGTTATTTTGGGCCTCCACATAGTTTACTGGCTAAAAAAAAAAAAAAAAAATTCAAAAGACTTGATTGATGCTGGAAAAGTAAATATATTTTTTTCTTTTACATTTTTTTTTTTATTGGTAGAAGAAAGTTTGGGATTGATTGATTGATTGATTTATTTCTTTTTATGGTTTATCAACCTTTTGCAGGTTATTTAAAGCCAGAAAATATTTTTGGTGATAAAAAGGATTTACTGCTACAAGTCCAGCTGAATGTATATAGAAATAGTTTGGATTAAGTATGACAATATAATTTCAGTTGTGAAGATTGACTGACTTATTTTTTATGGTTTATCAACCTTTTGCAGGTTATTTAAAGCCAGAAAATATTTTTGGTGATAAAAAGGATTTACTGATACAAGTCCAACTAAATTTATATAGAAATAGTTTGGATTAAGTACGACAACATAATTTCAGTCATGAAGACTGACTGATTTGTTTTTATGGTTTATCAACATTTTGCAGGTTATTTAAAGCCAGAAAATATTTTTAGATTATAAGAATATTTTGGAGAAAAGAATCATGATTTACTGATACAAGACCTACAAATTAACCCATACCTGGAGGGAGAAGAGGTGGATTCATACTTTTCCCAAGGGTATTTTCATTTAAGTGAATATAACAGACCTGACTAGAATTGGAACACAGCTCTCTGATTTCCAATTCCGAGCCGTTATCCATCACATCACCTGACCAATTGAGCCTACAGCACTTGGTATTCTGAAGCAGTCACCCATTTAGGTACTGACCAAGCTTGATGTTGCTGAACTTCAGTGAAAAATGTGAGCACCCTCTATCACTGCTTCAGGAGACACTAAAATTAAATTTTTATCTCATTTGATAATATTTTTTTGTAGTGAGGATCTTCATGAGTTTTTTGCATGTTCAAAACTTCCTTTGAACTGCTAAATTAGTCATGGGACAAGAAAAAGGACTCCTATTGAATTATGGTAAAGTGATGCAAAAGGTGATTATCTCCCTTTTTTTACAAGATGAATTTACTGATGTCTTAAGAGGCCCTCAAAGATCACATAACAGCCCATTGGTGAAAATAGTTCAGTTATGGTTTTTGTATGGCAGAGAAGGATTGGTTGTAAATAAAAACATGAATGAGGGTAATTCCACACTGTGGAGACAGCATTTGTGATTCTGATTAGACTGGGGTGAGCATGTGAGCTCGCCAGACGGCAATTTTGCTATCAGCACTGCCTGCCCCACTGAAGATGTAACGATCTCCTGTTACATGGAGGCAATAAATAGCATCATTGTGGCCTTCCAAAACCAACAGTTTTTGATGACTGTAGAGATTGTAGATATGAATCGTCCCTTCTTTGGTTGCAATCCAAAGCTGAAAAGTAAAAAACAATAAAAAGGTAAATTAAAACAGAATTTAGATTTGTATATCATAAGAACCACCCTCCAAACCTCATATTAAAAATGACTAAATCTCAATAAAAATCATTAGACTATTTACATTATTCGGACTATTGTCCTCATCTTTGTTGCCATATTTATCTGATCCTTCAGTATCTGTCTATATTTCTGATATGAGGTATTATGTACACTATTTATTTGACACATTTACATCCTTCAGTATCTGTCTATATTTCTGAGATGAGGTATTATGTACACTATTTACATTATTCGGACTATTGTCCTCATCTTTGTCCTCATCTTGTTGCTGAGATGATATTTATCCGATCCTTCAGTATCTGTCTATATTTCTGAGATGAGGTATTATGTACACTATTTACATTATTCGGACTATTGTCCTCATCTTTGTTGCCATATTTATCTGATCCTTCAGTATCTGTCTATATTTTTGAGATGAGGTATTATGTACACTATTTACATTATTCGGACTATTGTCCTCATCTTTGTTGCTATATTTATCCGATCCTTCAGTATCTGTCTATATTTCTGAGATGAGGTATTATGTACACTATTTACATTATTCGGACTATTGTCCTCATCTTTGTTGCCATATTTATTATGTTTTGGCCGTTGTACACTCCGGTTTTCTTCAGGTGGCTGGAATGTCAAACTGAACCCTTTATTTCGCTCATTGGGGTAGACTGTTCTAGTTCCACATGCCATGTCTAATTGATGTCAATTATCAGTTATCTCCTGTTAATTCCTTACTCCAAGTTCTCCACCACCTTAACCAGGTGTTGAACTCACACTCTTTGGGTCCTGTCACTGAATCTAACTAATGCCTTTATCCATTGTGTCATGTGTCCTTGGCAATAAAGATGAGGACAATAGTCCAAATAATGTACCTCATCTCAGAAATATAGACAGATACTGAAAATTCTTTAGAAATTCAAATTTCTCTTTTGTTTGATTTATTTAATATACATGTGTGTCTGTGTGTGTAAAATTTAATAAACATGTGTGTGTGTAGAATTTAATATACATGTTTGTGTGTGTGTAAAATTTAATATATGTGTGTGTAAAATTTAATATAAATGTGTGTGTGTGTGTGTGTGTGTGTGTGTGTGTGTGTGTGTGTAAAATATCAATTAAACCAGTGTAAAATAATTTACAACTTGTAAAATAAAAGTACACAGTTTATGTGTGTGGGTGTGTGTGTGTGAGGGGGGTACAATCAGACCAATCGGTGCAAAATAATTATGCCATTATAAAAAGATGTGAAGACAATAAAGCCACTAATATACAAGGGGAGTACTGAGTGCGAGAGAATACAAGAAAACAAAAACAATATCTAGGAGAGAGGACAATAAAAGAACATGTGTTAAGAAGACAGAAGATAATGACTGATGTTTCGTTTAAACTTTGAAAGATCAAAGTTTACTGGAGAGCAAGCAGCTGGAAGAGAGTTCCACAATGTAGAAGTGTGAGAGAAGAAACTGTTAGCATAGGACTTACAGTTACATGTAGTCATTTCAACTGTAAAAGGATGAAATATTGCCACCAGCCTAGTACTGCACTTACATTCATAAAGTCTAAGTACCAAAGAAGAGAGCTCATCAAACCAATTGCCATGAAAATAATTATAGAAAATGCACAGGGAATCTATGCCACATCAGTGGGAAAGTGACAAACCAAGATGCTAGGTCAAAATCAATAACATTGCAGATTCTTCTTTGCATTTTATCAAAAATCTCTAAATATATAGCAAAAGCACCAAACTAGATCTGGCAGTAATATTGAATGCATGGCCAAATAGTAGACTTATAAATGTGTAAGATAGATTTTGGAGAGAAACATGTGTCTAGCATGACACAGTGAACCAATATTCCTAGCAGCAGAGTTAGCATCTAATTCAATATAATCTTTCTATGTCATGTCAGTTAGCTTAAGAAGGATTCCCTCTCCTGGACGTTAACATCAGCCATGCTGATGTAAGGTAAAAATGATTCTTTCAGACAATTAAAAGAGGGTAAGTTTTATTTTCAAGCCATTAAAATTAAAAAAAAAAGCTGTTTCTTGTCCCAGTTAATAACAGATTGTAGGTGATGTGTGTATTCTGGTTTATTGATGTACTTCAAAAGGAAAATGGTACTGCTACTACTAGACTTTGTAAAAAGGGGAAAGCAAAGAGTTTCAAATGGGGTCTTCTATTTGTAGTATTGGTGGACTGCCACTAGCAGGCAAAATGATTCCTCTTTTATGGAACATGAACTAATCTC